CTAATAATAATATTGATAATATAATGATAATGATAATAATAATAATAATAATGATAATAATAATAATAATAATGATAATGATAATAATAAAAAAAATAATAATGATACGATGTAACAAAATTAATTATTTTAAGTATTAATATCATCCTCGTTAATATAATGATTTCACAGAAAGAAGTATAAAGAAAGTACCATTGTGAATCGGAAATGACACTGTTTGAATGAGGATTACTTAAAATTACATCTACACTCTACAGTCCTTTTTAATGAAGATTTGAGATCTAAAATTACCTGATTCCCAACCAGATATTACTTGATTCCCAACCAGATATTACCTGATTCCCAACCAGATAATACCTGATTCCCAACCAGATATTACCTGATTCCCAACCAAATACTACCTGATTTCCAACCAGATATGTGTTGTGGGAACTGTTTATATAATAGTGGGAGAGCGGTTGAGTCATATCCTGAACAGTTTTTTATTTTCAAAAAAAGCCTGAAAACTAGTCACAAAATCTAACTTTCTAACCACTATATGGGTTAGAAATTTAGATTCTGTAATGGAAGTGAGAATTGTTCACACTATTAAGTTCCTTTGTACTGCAATCAAATATTGAAAAGAGATTTTTGAAACGTCTGGCACTCGAGGACATTTCTAAGTTAGAATTGGCTTAGTTTGGTTCCTAGTTTAGAAATTTGGAGCAAGCTATGTGCATTTTTCAATGTGTTCATTTTGCGACATCTGAATTCTATTTGCAATTTGGAGCTTTTGGACCTTTTGCAATCATATTTCCTGAATGATTCATCATGAGCTTTTCTATACTCAAGTGTAGTCTTTTTAACTGACAAAGGTTGGTTCAGAAAAAACCTGATAAACATGTTGAGAGGATTGAGTTATGAAGAAAAGTGAAGATCCCATCACAAATCTGAGAAATCCTTTCCAGCTAAACAATAAATAGTGAAAATTGGAATAAATGTTTTAATAATATGTTAAAATATTATTATATTGATGATTATAACAATGATAATGATAATAGTAATAGAAATAATGGTTGATACTGATACTGATATATACTGATACTGATAATGATGATGATGATGATAATAATAATAATTATAATAATAATAGTAATAATAATAATAATAATTATAATAATTATAATAATTATAATAATAATAATAATAATAATTATAATAATTATAATAATAATAATAATAAGCAAATCAAAAGTGATGTTACCGATACCTCATGTATAGATTCTTGACCTTCTTGAGAACATCCTTGTCCTTGATCTCGTAGTCCTTAATGATGTTCATGCTCTCCTAGGTCTTATGAACCTTAAACCTGGATTCAAGAGGATCTGATTTTATGTTTCATTGTTTAGGTCTTATACTTTTAAAGGTTTTAGGTTTCATTGATTTCTAGGTTTCAGGTGTAATGGTTTTAGGGTTTGGGGATTTCAGGTTTATAGGTTTAATGGTTTCATGGTTTCATACGTTTAAGGTTTGATGGTTTTAGACGTTTAAGGTTTGATGGTTGTAGACGTTTAAGGTTTGATGGTTTTAGACGTTTCAAGTTTAAAGGTAGATGGTTTCTGATTTATTATTTATTGTTTTATGAAGTTAATGGTTTCAGAGAATTCAGGAGGCGAGGTTTCATTGTTTTTATGGTTTATAGGTTTAATGGCTTTTATAAACTTCAGGATTCATAGTTTTAAGGATCCAAGGTTTCAGGTTTCCTCGAGCCCAAGACATTCTCCTTGAACCTCATCAAGGAACTTTTCCAACTCATTCGGTGTTATCGCCAAACCTAGGAGAATTATAGATAAGTTTTTATTTTTGTACCACGTTTTGTACATTACATTATGTAAAATGTAAACATGATTAAAAACTCAAAAACCTTTATATTTTGAGGATACTTCAGTAAAGAGATTATTTAACTCTGGTCTCTCTAGAAGACGATGAAAGAATGTTAGAAATTCCTCCTCGTCCAAAACCTGCTGACCCTCCACCTAAACCAAACCAAATATAATTTAAGATGGCGGATTTTAATATGGAGATTTTTAACACAATATGGTTTCATTTAAGATGCACAATAGGGTTTTATTCAAGATGAAGGTTTTTATTCAATATGGAGGTTTGTATTCGAGATGGAGGTTTGTATTCAAGATGGACTCATGGAGGTTTGTATTCAAGATGAAGGTTTACATTCAAGATGATGGTTAGTATTCAAGATGGAGGTATGTATATAAGATGGAGGTTTCTTTTTTAAGATGGAGGTTTGTATTTAAGATGGAGGTTTGTATTTAATATGGAGGTTTGTATTCAAGATGGAGGTTTGTATTCAAGATGGAGGTTTGTATTCAAGATGGAGGTTTGTATTCAAGATGGAGGTTTGTATTTAATATAGTGGTTTGTATTTAATATAGAGGTTTTGTATTTAAGATGGAGGCTTGTATTTAATTTGGAGGTTTGTATTAAAAATGGAGGTTTGTATTAAAGATGTAGGTTTGTAATCAAGATCGAGGTTTGTATTCAAGGTGGAGATTTGTATTAAAGATTGGGGTTTGTATTCAATATGGAGGTTTGTATTCAAGATGGAGGTTTGTATTCAAGATGAAGATTTTTATTTAGGATGGAGGTTGGTATACAAAATGAAGGTTTGTATTCAAGATGGAGGTTTGTATTCAAGAGGGAGGTTTGTATTCAAGATGGAGATTTTTATTCAAGATATAGGTTGGTATTCAAGATGGAGATTTGTATTAAAGATGGGGGTTTGTATTCAATATGGAGGTTTGTATTCAAGATGGAGATTTTTATTCAAGATAGAGGTTGGTATTCATCATGGAGGTTTGTATTCAAGATGGATGTTTGTATTCAAGATATAAGTTTGTATTCAAGATAGAGGTTGGTATTCATTATGGAGGTTTGTATTCAAGATGGATGTTTGTATTCAAGATATAAGTTTGTATTCAAGATATAAGTTTGTATTCAATATCAAGAGTTTTCATGCAAAACTATGGTTTGTATATCAAAGTAAGGATTATAATCATGTGTTTTTAAACTTGAGATTGGTTGGTTCGTACTTTAGATGAAGGTTGTACTACATAATGTTCAAAATATCATCATTTACCGTAAATTTATCAATGTTTGCCTGAGCGAAAACTTTCTCAATCTCATCCGGAGCAAGATAAATATTAATTTGCTTCAGCATCATCGCGAATTCATCTAGAAAATTTAAAATATTAATAATATCTTTTCTTTTTATCTGGTTTCTGTTCTGATCTGTTCTGAATAGTTCTGGATGTAAGGTTGAGTATAATGAAAACAATAAAATTAAAAGTTTGTAGAGGAAAGGAATGGAATAAACATTACCTAAAGTACTAGAGAACCATATTACATTTTAAACTCCGTCTTTGCACAGAATTCAAATTTAGAAAATGTACGCACTACGCACAGTTCAGATTTAAAAGATCTGTACGCACTTCGTAGAGTCTAGGTTTATAAATGAGAATTGAAACATGAACATGAACGTGGAACGGACTACAAAACACAGAACTGAAATATGAACATGAACATGGAACGGACTACAAAACACAGAACTGAAACATGAACATGAACGTGGAACGGACTACAAAAACTCAGAACTTAATGATAATAATAATAANNNNAACTGAAACATGAACATGAACGTGGAACGGACTACAAAAACACAGAACTGAAACATGAACATGAACGTGGAACGGACTACAAAAACACAGAACTGAAACATGAACATGAACGTGGAACGGACTACAAAAACACAGAACTGAAACATGAACATGAACGTGAAACGGACTACAAAAACTCAGAACTGAAACATGCACACAGTGCACAGAAAAATCAAAATATTGTGCGTACTACATCTAAATATGTTCTCAAGCATAGTTCAACCTAAAAGATTTAAAGCAATTTCAATAAGATTCAGAAAAGTGAATAAATGCAATATTATAAATTCTGATTTTGTAGATTAAATTGACTCCAACCGTAATTTCAAGTGGCATGTACGATTTACAACGGTATCATTTAAACATTTTACTGATCAAGGATGACGGGGACATCCTTGTTTTTTACATCTAAAAATTATTATAAATATTTTTGGGTTCTCTTTTTAAAAGTGACTTTTGCGAATATTTTAGAAAATGAATTTATCAGAATTTAATTTAATATCTTCCTCATTGTTACTTAGATAAAAGTTTAGAGGGTACCTCGATATGAATCGGTTCAAATATGACAAGCGGTTCAAAACTTCAAACACAGCTGGTTCAACTTGAAATTATGATAAGTGTTTCGAGATTTGAGCCGGCGCTTAATGGGAACCGGTTCAGCGAGGCAGTTCAAATTCTTTAAATTCAGCCTCGGGTCACTTAAAATTCATGTACAGTCCCTTCAAATCTTTAGTTCTTGCTTCCCTGCTAGTAGTTTAAATACCGTGAGAAAAATATTTTAATTGAATTTTAAATTATGCAGAATAGGTTCTAGTCAATATTGTTCTTTTTCAATGCTTTAATTTAATTATTTAGTAGTATCTACATTCATAAAAACATCTGGAAAAAGATAAAAAATAAATAAATTGTAAAAAAAGTAGTATCTACATCAAATTGCTTGATATCTCTCTATGAACTGTGAAAGTCCGGAAACTAAAACAACCCCCCTGCCCCCCTCCACCCTCGTAAAAGATATAAAAATTCCAGAGAATACAAGTTAAGATCAAATATAATCCTTACTCCAATGATTATTATAGTATAAGGTGTATACTCTTTAGTCCTAGCAATTATAAAGTCCAATCTAACATATTTACTAATTTTTCTCTTAAATTAAATCCATTAGTCCCCTGAATTCTAAAATGTAATCTGTGTAGTCCTAGATATTATGGCAATCTTGTAAAGTTAAAATATATTCTGATAGTTATCTAAAGTCTCTAATATAAATTATATTCTGATAGTTATCTAAAGTCTCTAATATAAAATATATTCTGATAGTCCTCTAAAGGAATATAAAATGTATATTCTGATAGTTATCTAAAGTCTCTAATATAAATTATATTCTGATAGTTATCTAAAGTCTCTAATATAAAATATATTCTGATAGTCCTCTAAAGGAATATAAAATGTATTCTGATAGTCCCCTAAAGTCTCTAATATAAAATATATTCCGATAGTCATCTAATGTCTCTAATATAAAATATATTCTGATAGTCCTCTAACGTCTCTAATATAAAATATATTCTGATAGTCCTCTAAAGTATCTAATATAAAATATATTTTGATAGTCCTCTAAAGAAATATAAAATATTTTCTGATATAGTCCTCTAAAGTATCTAATATAAGATATGTTCTGAAAGTCCTTTAAAGGAATATAAAATATATTCTAAAAGTCCTCTAAAGGAATATAAAATATATTTTGATAGTCCTCTAAAGATTATAAAATATATTCTGATAGTCCTCTACAGAATATAAAATATATTCTGATAGACCTCTACAGAATATAAAATATATTCTGATAGTATAGTCCTCTAAAGAATATAAAATATATTCTGATAGTCCTCTACAGAATATAAATTATATTCTGAAAGTCCTCTAAAGAATATAAAATGTATTCTGAAAGTCCTCTAAAGAATATAAAATATATTCTGAAAGTCCTCTAAAGAATATAAAATATATTCTGAAAGTCCTCTAAAATATATTCTGAAAGTCCTCTAAAGAATATAAAATATATACTGAAAGTCCTCAAAGAATATAAAATATATTCTGAAAGTCCTCTAAAGAATATAAAATATATTCTGATAGTCCTCTACAGAATATAAATTATATTCTTAAAGTCCTCTAAAGAATATAAAATACATTCTGATAGTCCTCTACAGAATATAAATTATATTCTGAAAGTCCTCTAAAGAATATAAAATATATTCTGAAAGTCCTCTAAAGGAATATAAAATATATTCTGAACGTCCTCTAAAGAATATAAAATATATTACCGAGGAACAAGTATCCATTCTTGCTTTTATCCGCTGAAGTAAAAATACCCCTGCAGACACATACTTTAACTGCAAAACAGAATTCAAATGCATTTTTAACAATTTGAACAATCTTATCTTATTTTCTTCCGGTCTCATCAATAAAAGTTTTATTTTTAAAGTATTGATTTTAAAAAGAAAAGCAGTTTTAGTTTCCTGAGATAAAGTTCGTATTCTTTTTGATACTCAACCTCCTTCATACTTTCTATCAGCTGATCACAAACCTAGAAAACCATTCAGTTCAAATCAGTTTGAAATCAGTTTCCCACTTTAAAGAAACAGCATGTGGTATGTTTGATTCACAATCGTACACATTAAATCCTTGTTTTTCTATCTGAACATTGATTGTTTTCGATTGTGGTTTCTCTACAAAAGTTTCTTGCGGATATATGAAGCAGACACAATGAAGGAAATTGTTGGAATATAAAAGTTTACTAGCTGAAAAAAATTTTCTTCTAGTTGTTCCCTAGATAAACCATACTGGGTCACTCGAAATACAAGAACTTCAAGGGAAAGTAAATGTTATTTCAAATGACCCTCTATTTAAAGATGGCAACCGCCGATTTACATTGATACAATAATTTGATCAAAACTGTGGAAGATAACGTCGTTTTTCTCACTCAAAGTAACTTTTTTTTTAACATAAGCATTAATATCTAATTCATACTTCGACAACGCTTTCAAGGTTACCGTTGTAAATCGATCATGCCATATTTGCATGGAGGTTTACTTAAAATTACACTTGCAGTCCCTTACAGTTAAATCTAATGTACTGAACAATACAGAGTTCATATGTTCTAGATGTATAGAACATATCTAAGATATTTCGTAGATTTACTGTCTATTTAATGAAATATATAATCAGATAATGTAACATAATATAATATATATTTCCCTAATAAGCATTAAGGTTCGGCTGAACAGTGCCTCGAGGTGTTTAAGCTACTTGACACTTAACCTCGGGTTCATTAGTTTACACCTATTCAATTCTTCTCACAAACATAAACATTCAAATATAAAAGATACCGAAACTTGTCAAAGAAGAGAGGGTAGGCATGGGTCACAATATTTCTGCTCCAAGCCACATTAAGAAGAAACGAGCCACCCTAATTTCTGTTCTGAGTCGCAGATAGACCTCAGCCACTACAATTTATGCTCGGAGCCACAGAATTACTCAAGCCACCACCATTCCCACTTTTTCCACGCCTAAAAAGAGCGGCCTGGAAGTAGGAATAGCAGGGGCTAGGAAGAAGGAATGAGGTGGCTCATGGCCGCCTACCCTACCCTGCTTGTAAAAATACAGACCTGAACCCAGGTATCCCGCACCTCGGTGCTGTTACAGATTAAATCTAAAATATAAAGAAAATTAGAAAATATAAGAAATATATTAAAAGATAGATAATAAAAGATAAGAAGAGAAAAAGGAGAATACAAGATGGATTAAATAAAATAAGAAAATAACCGGAAGAAGGAAAAAGATAGAAAATAAGAAAATGATATGCAACAGTACTGGAAATAGAAGATAAAAGAAAAACATAGAAGATAAAAAAGACGGTAGACGATGGAAAATATAAGATAGCATAAATAAGATGGCATATACAAGATAGTAAATAGTAAATGGATAGTAAATAGTAAATAGTAAACAGACAATAGAAATTAGATGATAGAATTATAAAAATCTAATGAAATACACTAAATGAGGATAGATAGAAGAATATAGAAATATTAAGAAAAGATAGAAAATAGTTGATAGTTGTAAGAAGATAGAAGAATAAGAAAAAAAGATATATATATAGGATAGAAGATAGAATTTATAAAATAGAAAAAATATCTACCTAAAGTATATGGAATACCCTTCTTGTTCCTATGATCGAAAATAATTGAGAAACTATGATCAGGGTTCAGGAACTTAGAGAAATTATTCGTTTTTTTCATTTTTCTCTCAACCTAGACATATTAAACTGTTCAGTGTTCATGTAAGAAAGTCATGTAAAATAAGTTTCCGGAAAAAAATTGTAAAGTTTGTTTAAGGAAAAGTTAGAATTTTCTCTAGTCCCAAGTACGTAAATATGTACCTGAAAATAAAGTTCTGGATTTTAGTTTCCTAGGACATTTTCATTTACATAGTACACTTATTATTACATAACAAAGTAGGTATCATAGAGAATAGAATGTATATAGAGGGGAATTTACTAGAAAAAAGTGTAAAACGGCCAATTTGTTGTAGTGTTTCCATACTGCAGGTGTACTTCACATATTTATGCTATATAGCCTTTAGGGCCCTGGAATATCATTTTATAGAAAATCTAATATTATTGTTAAAAGAAAACCAAATTATGAAATAGACTGGTTTCATAATTGACCAATGATCATTTCACAACTCTATGCCTTTCACTTTACAAACGATGATTTTCCGTTATAACTATAAATCAAATGATGGTTTTTATTCACCTAATTCATTATAAAGTTTATTTAACAGCTTTAAAAATTTCGAAATTGAAATGAATAGTCTAGGGAACATACTGTATTAATGTACTGTACTGCACATAATTTGTGAACATTTACATGATTTGTACACTTTGAGCTCCCTTTCAGGCTGAAAGGGACTGAAAAAAGTCATAACGAGAGATTCTTTTAATTCCTCTCTAATATATATTATATTCTCTATGGCAGGTAACCTAAAGTTACTGACAACATACTATTTTGTGATTTCAGAGAAAAAGTATGAATTGAATATCATTTTTAAATATTTGGAAATGTAAAATCTGATATTCTGGATTGTTGATATAGTTGGACATACCCGGATACGGTTATTAACATTTTCCTGGAGTCTATATCAGTGCGTTGGATCCACGGATCCGCTGGATCCGCTAAAATGTGCAGATCCGCTAATCCGAATTCAAGTGTCAAAATATAAATTTTAAACGAAAAATTTTTTTCTCTGAAAACGCAAATCTTAAGAGTTATTTACAAAGAGTTTATTGAAAACGTCCTAATCTCTTAATAGTAAATAAATAGTGAGAAAAGAAAAAGAAAATTCATGATTTTGATCTGCATCTGAATCCGGATCCATTTTTGCAATACAGGTCCAGGATCCGGTGGAATTCGAGTCTATTTCGTGTAAGACAGATCAAGGATCTCAGTCTGGTTTTTGAAGGACTGATCCGGGATCCGGGTCCATTTATTGTAGAACTGATCCTGGATTCAGAACCATTTTTACATGACTGATCCAGGATCCTCGTCAAGTTTTAAATGACTGATCCAGGATTCGGGTCCAGTTTTACAGGACTGGTCCAGGACTGGCAACTGGCAACTTCCCAACTGCGCAATTTCCAAAACGGCAATTTTCCTAGCCGCAGTGCTCTCCCCCTAGCCTGTTCTTACCGCAGCGCTCGGCCCCTCTAGCTCATCCTATTCGCAGTGCTCAGCCCTCATTGCAGCTTGCGGCGTCTCGGAAGGCCTAATCTAACCCTTGGACAGTTGCCGCTTGGAAAATTGCACATTTGGGAAGTTGCAACTTGGGAAATTGTCACTTGGAAAGTCGTCCTTGGGAAAATGCCTTAGGGAAAATACCGAACACCATTTTTTACAGAACCGGCCTATTCCGCATCAAAGTTAAATGAATCCTAAGATACCGTAATATTTTATGATATGGATATATTTTATAGTTAATAAATTGATATCAAAAGAATTTACCTGGTTAAATGTATCGGTGGAGAAACCTTTCCTAACCTCAACAATATCCGCCATATCCATCCTAGATAATTTATATTCATCCTGGATAATTTATATTCATCCTAGATAATTTATGTCCATCCTAGATAATTCATATCCATCCTAGATAATTTATATCTACCCTAAATAATTTATATACATCCTAGATAATTTATATCCATCCGGCCTTGATAATTCATATCCATACTGGATAATTCATATCCATCCTAGATAATTCATATCCATCCTACATAATTCATTTCCATCCTAGATTATTTCATATGCATCCTAGATTAAAGAATTGATATCTTTCCCAGATTACAAATGAGCTCGCGCTTTTCCAAATCGGTTGATATTGTTTTATATGCGCAAAACCCATTATCTATAAACGGTCTCAAAAAAGTATAATTGGTTTGGTGTGAATTGAAATCTTTATATTCAAACATCTTATTCTGATAAAGAAGAATTATTAAGTTTCTGCTTGCCTAGCCATCAAAACAAGACCGTTCCTCTGAAGGCGAAATTACAGTTTTCAGTTTTAAATAGTCTAACTCTGAACTCACCTGAACAGTTTATCTGGAGCAACATTATACAGCTTCTGGGAGATAGGGTTAGATGCAGGTAGATAATGGATATACAGTTTACTCAGATCTATCCTAGAATATATAGGGTTGGATACAGGANGTTTAGTTTACACAGAGCATAGTTAAGGAAACTTGAACAATAAGGGCAGTTTATTATACACAGAGCATAGTTAAGGAAACTTGAACAATAAGGGCAGTTTATTATACACAGAGCATAGTTAAGGAAACTTGAACAATAAGGGCAGTTTATTATACACAGAGCATAGTTAAGGAAACTTGAACAATAAGGGCAGTTTATTATACACAGAGCATAGTTAAGGAAACTTGAACAATAAGGGCAGTTTATTATACACAGAGCATAGTTAAGGAAACTTGAACAATAAGGGCAGTTTATTATACACAGAGCATAGTTAAGGAAACTTGAACAATAAGGGCAGTTTATTATACACAGAGCATAGTTAAAAAAACTTGAACAATATTAAGAAAGGGGACTGCAAAATGTAACTTCAAGGTACCCTTCGTGTACAAGTTATAATACCCAATTCACAACGGTACCCAATTAAACCTTTATCTGATCAATTACGTGGAAGATGTTGTCGTTTTTCTAGGTTTAAAAGTGTTTAATTCTGATCATTCCTATGCGTTTTTCTACAGTAGAATTTATAAATGCGCAAGTCACTTTGGAAGAGAAACAAACTATAAATATAAAATCAGTTTCCAAAATTTGAATCATTGATATCTAATTCATACTTGATCAAACAAAGCTATTAAGAGTACCGTTATGAATCGGGTTACTTGAAATTATGCTTACAGTCCCTTTAAGTGTATTAATGTGCAGTGAAACCCTGTAAATTTCTTTTTCTAAACAGAGAATTTCTGTGAATTTATACCTGCTTTCATGGGAGGGGAAGGAAACAGAGAAAAGGGTTAGAATGTCAAATGTTTATCGTTCTGAGTGAGAAAAATACTGTTCAATCTTTTACATTAAGTCCAAACAACATAAAGGGAGTGTTCTCGAAAAATGAAAGGGGGTACCACGGACTAAACAAAGTGAGAGGCATTCGGTTTCTTCTATTTGAAATCATACGCGATTTGGTCTATAATTTAACAATCAATTTAAACTTATGGATTTTTTTTCTTTATACTTTTCATTCAAAACGTATATGCTGACAAAAAAGTAAATAAGAAAAATGGCTAAAAGATTATGTTTAATAGTTCAAATTGCGATTTTAATCATGTTTTTCTGGAATATTGACAGAACCGTTAAATCCACGTTGGGTAAAGGTTTATGTCGAAAAATATTCGATGGAAATTTCTAAAATCTTACTTCTATCTGTTGTGTCTATCAGGAGAAAATTGTTAAAAACGACTTATACCGAAGAACGTAGCGTCTATACAAATTCAGAAAGTTTCAATATTCGACTCGGATCGTAAAAAATCAATTCTATTCCAAACAAATCATTCAGGTATTACAACCTATAATCATCGATTTTTTTTCTATGCATTAGTATATAGTTGATATTTTATACTATTTAATTTTTCGCTTGCAACTTGTTTTCACGGGTGGTGTGGATTTTCGAACATTCCTGAAAAATATGAAACTGTCGTCTTCTTTATCAAGAATTCTCGAAACATGAAAGAATATTTTCAAAATGAACTCTCGGATCATAAAAAATAAAAAATATAATGAAATATCAACTTTATACGAATGCGTCGAATATTAGTAGCAATCACCATCGAATATTTTTCGACGTAAGCCTATACTCCCTTTAATTTTTCGCAAACACTCGCTTTATATAAAGATCAATTTTTTTTAACCCTACCCCTCGCATCCCAGTTCAGGATGGGACAGTCCATGTGAAAAGAGTTACTAATGGAAAGCATAAATGGTACAAAAAGTGTGATATTTCGGACTGCTCCGAAGTGGTTTATCATTTTTGGACTGCAGAGATTGAAGGGTTAATTTTTTTATTTAAATCCTAAAGCTCTGTAGAATCTCAGCTGTTTATGAATCTAAATTCTTTGTTTACATTTCCGGTCAAAAGCATTCGGGAATTCCGGGAGTTTGCACATCATAATCAGATATTTGCACATCTTAATCAGATATTTGCACATCTTTATCGGATATTTGCACATCTTAATCGGATATTTGCACATCTTAATCGGATATTCGCACATCTTAATCGGATATTTACACATCTTAATCGGATATTTGCACACCTTAATCGAATATTTGCACATCTTTATCGGATATTTGCACATTTTAATCGGATATTTGACATCTTAATCGGATATTTGCACTCCCTCAATACTGCACAATTTCAATATTAGCGCTCATTATTTAATTTTAGATGTATTCTGATTCTTGTTCAATCGTTTTCAAAATATTTGAATTTAAGAGTTCAGTAATTCATTTTTATATTTATGCTAATATAACATGCTTAGATCAAACCATTGGCATTATAAAGAAAGTAAATCAAGATTTTGCAGATATATTTCTGTTTTGATTTCAAAAATATTTTCAAGTCAAAATTGACTGATGGCAAAATGTTGGCCGGTATCCTGGGTTATGTAGGACTTGGGCCCGATCAACCAAATATTAATTGAGATCGAAAAAGAATATATTTTCCAAAAATGTTATTTTTAAGGCCCCTGATAAATAAATATCTATATGTTTTGAGGTCTAAACTTGTGTGTTGTGAATCCATGGATCCGTATCTTTTGCCGTTCAAAGGACCTAAATTAATTCCTTGTGGCCGAAACCCATGGGACCAAGAACATTAGCTTTGAATTTAAAAGTTGCTACTCTCGATATCGAGCTTTAGATTAGTGCTATTTTACACACATGTTTTTAACAGTGAATTTACACCAGAAGCAAAATTAATAATGGAAAAAGACAAAGTAGTATTAAGTATTTTCTTGCCATCAACATGTATTCAAGGATATTTTGAGGTTTTGAGAACCCATATCAGCAAAGCTAAAAATGGGAATAAAAGACAATAAGGAAAAGATCTGATTTAAATAAAACCATGTTCTGATAAGGGCCTATCATAGCTCAACATGAACCAATTGGCCGATTTCATCGACGTTTATTTTTTAAATTTCTACCCCCCTTGAAGAACACTGTTCAATGTATTAAAAATACAAGATCTGTAGAATACATCTTGTTTTTATTTGTCGAGAAATTACAGTTCGAAATCATATTATTTGCAAAGAAAATGGAAAAAGAAACTTAAAATGTTTTTTGTTGACGCAAATACGTGAATTGTACTTAAATGTATTTTAAACCTATATAAACTGAGATGGAATTTAAAGAATTTGAGCCGTAGTTTAAATCCGCCAAAATCCGCCAAAACCCGGTTTAAATTAAGCGCCGGCTTAAATCTTGAAACATTTGATACAATTTTAAGTGGAACCAACCATATTTAAGCCGCGGCTTAAATTTAAACCGCCGCCCATTCGGCCACTGAACACTTAATTAAGATTGTTGCTAAGTAATCTAAGAAATTTTCACTTTAAAACCAAGTGTTTTAGCCAAATTTTTTTCTAGGTATTTATCTTTAGTTTACATTCTGAAAACTTAATTTTGTTTAAGGGGATTTCAAATAGCTTCCCAAGGAACTTACACTAAATTTTTAAAGAGTCCCATATATGATTTACCCCTATTGAGAAATCAAGATAGAGATTATATACTTTTTTTTTGAAAAACTGTCAATCAGTGGCCACGACTTTTAGAAAAATCGATGATCGGATTTCCACAGCTCAGACAGCATGAAAATTGCCGAGCTCTGTCTAATTCTCGATAACAAGTTGCGCCATTATTTATTAAAATAAGACTTTAATACATTTTCAATCAAATATATTCTGTAGGTGATTTTCTTACTTAGACACTACATCCCTCCATTCTCCCAGCTTTTTAGGTCGTCTTCGCATTCTCTTCCTGACAGGCCCGGGCAACTTTTTAGACAAACTATCCATTTTTTAGCCTGCATTGATACTATTGATATTTCAAGGTTTCCAAGGATATATCTGACAGTTTTCAAATTTGATCGAGAGATAAAATTATTTATTTCCGGTTTAAAAACTACAAAAATGTTTATTTTGAGCGGATTTCTAGAGTTTTCGTGACATAGATTATTCTTGCAAAGTTTGATAAAAACTTCTGTTCATGGTGCATTCAACTGTTTTTTTAATCGTGCTGTGCTGTAAAGTAATCATTGAAGATCACAACACAAGCGAATGATTTGTCTAACCAAAAAATTCTAGTTCGAGTTGCCATGGGGATTCCGATTTTGTTTTCATATTGGAAATTTGTTGAATGCAACCAGGACTTAAAGGGACTGTAGACGGAATATCAAAAGTCCTGACTTAAAGGGACTGTAGACGTATTATCAAAAGTCCTGACTTAAAGGGACTGTAGACGTATTATCAAAAGTCCTGACTTAAAGGTGTAGACGTATTATCAAAAGTCCTGACTTAAAGGAACTGTAGACGGAATATCAAAAGTCCTGACTTAAAGGGACTGTAGACGTATTATCAAAAGTCCTGACTTAAAGGGACTGTAGACGTATTATCAAAAGTCCTGACTTAAAGGGACTTCAGACGTAATATCAAAAGTCCTGGCTTAAAGGGACTGTAGACGTAATATCAAAAGTCCTGTCTTAAAGGGACTGTAGACGTACTATTGAATGTCAGTTTCACAACGGTAACCTTAACAACTACGTCTGATTATAGAATAAATGAAATACCTCTCTTTTAAAATTGTTTATTTTAAATTGTGGTTTCTTGCGAATTTCTATAGCGACAGAATAAATGGATGAATTTTCAAGCAAGAAAAACGACGGTATTTTCCCCATTTTTGGTCAGGAAAAGCTTTTAATGATACATTTGATAATCGGTCATGACCCGCTTTAAATTCAAGACAATTCAATCAATCAACAGTTTAAAAATCTTATAATTAAAAGAATACCAAAAAAACAATTAATTACAAGTTTCAAACAGTAATATTATTATTAATGTAAATATAAAACTTTACGCCACAGATTAAGATTTAACAAGTGACAATGTTTTTAACACT